ACGTAACAAGTGCATCGCTAGTAGTAACAAGTGCCTTACTAGTAGTAACAAGAAGCTACGAACGTAACAAGTGCATCGCTTCTAGTAACAAGTGCCTTACTAGTATATAGTAACAATGTTTGCTATTAGAAACAAGGTTCGCTACTAGTAAGAGAGTGTTGTATTGCAATCTGCATTCCGATGAATGACATTCGTTTTCAGACCAGTCAGTAGTGCCCACGCCGGTGATTGCCTGCTGCAACTGAAAATGGGCGGAAAGTCGATTCTGAGACGGAAACGATCGGAAATGCCACGTGGCCGAGAAACGGGGATCGATGGAATCGATGGCGGCTTCTTCTGGATTTCTGCCGGTTGAGAGGTGACAGCCAGCGATTTTGGACACCAGCGAAGGAGGGCAGCATCAGGCTGGATGGTTCTTAACCTCCTCAGAAGCCCTGAACGAGACACAATGGGGTCGAAACTGTGCCCTTGATCGACTCCACTTTCTCGCCCTAGCAGCTCACGGTAGGGGTGAATTGATACATAGACATAGATTGTTACGCGGCATCCGGAAAAAGGTACCATTGGTCAAGCTTGAATGCATGCAATTTGCAATTTTTGCACCAGAAATTGGAACAACCCTGATAGGTTGTCTATTTTCATCTATTTTCGCTGGAAAGATGTGGCTTCAAATTTGTGGCTCCCAGTGAATGGCACAGGTTGGCTGCTCAGCCCTGGAAGTGCTTGGACGTAGGCCGGGAGGACCAGCGCACTTGCTGTTGTGAGTGCTCAGATTACTTCAGCGTGGTATCTAAATATCAAATGCACTACGCAAATGCCAAAACATCTGAAGGGTCCCATCCGTCTCGCTGTTCAGGCAAAGAGGCCCCTCGACTCGTGGATTGTGTGGCATCCTGAGATGTGGACTGAGCTGTGAATCCTTGTGTTTGGGGCTTGGGAAAGCGTTGACCTATGTTGAACTCCAGAAATGGTCGTTTTTTCTAGGCATGGCACCAAGCTTCAGCTTAGCAAGATCAAACACATTTGGATTGACGTATGATCCATGGAGGTACAGCTGAAATCAGTTTCCTTGTTTCACGGGTCTTCCCGTGGGCAAGCCCTTTTTTTGGATCACCGGTGGTTTCTCGGGAACGGCCAGACAAGAAACCGGAGCTGCCGAGCTGTAAGAACACATGAGAGAGGCTTTTGTTTCTTCTGAAACGGTCTGCAACCTAATAGCATAAGAAACCTAATATCGATGGCCTCCATCCCAAGAGCGACGGCCTCCAACCTAATAGAAATGGCCTCCAACCTACTAGCCACGGCCTTCGTGTTTCTTGTTGTCAACCCATCAGAACCCCAAATCTTTGATACAACATGATACAGTACAACATCTTTTACATGCCTTGACATCCATCATGTCAATTGGGTTTTCAGAGGTGTGCAGATGAATTGTTCGCGACGAAGACCGCGACGCCATGCGGGGCAAAAAAAATGCAACAAGTACGGACTTGGAGGTTCCAGGCCGGTACCTGTTGGCCGTGAGTCATTTTCTTTCAGGTGGTTGATGGTGGCGTGGTTCATGAGAATCAGAGGCGCCTGGGGTGAGCAAACCTGGGTTCCTTGCGGTTTTTATATAGATGTTTCTGTTTTTTTCCTGCCTGATGCTTCAAGGACATCCGCCTTCAAGGATTGGATAGTTCGCTGTGATCCATTAGACTTCACGCAGAAGTCTTTGTTGGGCTTGAGAGCTTGAAGATTCCCCATTGCCGGCTCGGGGTTCCATGCGGAACATGGATCTCGGGGAAGACCATTCCGAGGACGACGGATCCAACCCCGGGGAAGATGATGCCACTTGACCCAGACCCAATGAAGTTGTGGTGGGGAAAAGAAGACACAGTCCCTTGTGTTCCAGGATATGTCGTTCAAATGATAGACGCAGACATTTCAAGAGTAGTGCGAGTCTTGGCAAAATGTGTGCTGGACTAGCGGAAGAGACATAGATGGTAGACTAATGTAGAATGTTTTGGAAGATCTTCCTCGGTTGGGTCAATTGCTTGGAGAAGCAATTTGGACTGAGCCTCATGCTGAAGAGTTTCTCATTGACCAAGTGTTTGGCTGATCCGGTCTTGAGGTTTTCAATGCCAGAGCAGGAGGGACCGATCCGTGCACATTCCGAGCAGCCGGGGCGCTCGGGGAGGGTTTCAGTCTTTGGAAGGAAACGGGTGGTGTTATTGCAGTGAAGATAGTGAAGAAGATTGGAATATCATGGAATCATTGTTTGTACGCAGATAATTCAGGCTCAATCCAATTGATCAGACTTCCTGCCTTGGTGGTCCCGATTTCCGCTTAACCACTCCCAGTGCCATGGATTTCGACGACCTTGATGACGCGATTGACCAGAGAATCGCGGAGGGCGACACCGATACCTTGGCCAATCTCAGTGGCGTCATGATGCAGAAGAAGAGCTTGAAGGCGCTTACTGGCTCCATGGTGCCTATGCCCCGAAGCAAGGGCCTGCCGTTGCTTGACTGCCTCAACAACCCTCAACACGGCATCAAGATGACAAGATGAGAGTCTTTGTTTTCTATGGCCCGGGTGACACGGCGGAGGACATGAAGCCCGTCTGCCAGGCAGAAAGCTTTGCCGGGGTCTTTTCCCTTCGCCCATCCAATGGTATACGGTATAGAATACTTTGATTCAGATATGATTCAGATATATTTATTTTTGCTTTAAGCCGCCTTACGGCTGTTTCTTCCTGTGATTTGTTTACCTCACAAAGGGCAAGGAAGGCAGTTCTAAGGTGAACAGGAAGCCCAGAGTGGTTGGTTTAGCCGTACTCTGCAATAAGTTCATGCCGAGGGAGACTCTATTGGAAACCTGCATGTGGCATCATGTGGCATGCGAATGTAGAAAGGCCTGCTCCGGGAAAGGCTAGAGTAGAAGGAGGATTAAAACGAAAAACGTTCCGGCTAACCTTCTCTCTCTCAGGCCTTTTTTTTGAAGCTGAGAGCAGAGATGAGCAGAGATGAGCAGAGTTTATTATGCCCTCGATCAAGGTCTGCTGGTTCTGCCATCCAAGGTCCGCCAACGCCGGCCTGGATGCTACTGAAGCAGTTCGATGCCATGTACAACCTGGGCCTGGAGGATCCATATAAGTTCTATGCAGTCCAGATCGGAAACGACCCACACGACGTTGGCATCAAGCAGAGCAGCCGCTGAAGGGCATCGGCGACGTCACCTTCCTTTGTTTGGCCTATGGCTTGCTGGAGGACCGGATGGACACCCTGGCACGTTGCACAGCAAAGACCTTGCACCTGACAAGTGGCGAGAAGCTGGAGGACATGGACCACATTTGCAAAGCCTTGGGGCTCATTGGGGACCCTCGTGTGCACAAGCTGCATGCCATGACCCACAAGGTTGGCCATATGGTCAATGGCGATTTCAGACGGATCTTGAGTGCAGATGCCACCGGCATGGACGCCAGGCGCTTTGTCACCTTCTCGGCAGGCCCTGTCGCCTGTGGCGTTGTCAAGCAGTGATACTACTTGCACAATCATCCTTGGCTCTTCAAGGAAGCCTGTGCCAACGGCATGATGAAGCTCATGCCAGTTCACAGAAAGAGCGACACTCAGCTAGACCAGCCAGTTTACATGACCAACGTACAGTATGAGATGTGGTCCGGTGGCGTCTTCAGCAGCTACTTATACTTCCCCACCATGAGCATGTGCTGGGGTGATGAAAACGCATACAAGTACTCCTTAATCCACACCATGCACCCAGTGAAGTTCTTTGAATATTGCAAGGCAGACTGGGAGCGCTACGAGAAGATGTTCAGGGCCAATTGCAAGGGCTGCGCAGAGAAGCCAGAGGTGCCATATCCTTATACCATGGACATGGTCGAGTCCTGGTTCAAGGAGTACAACGAGTCCCTGAACGTGCACACAGTGCTGGAAGGTCCAGATGACGGCTTCAAAAAGAGCACCATTGAAATCTACAAGAAGAGCAGTGAGCGAATTCAGCAAGACCTCATTCCACCTTTGGTGAAGGAGGTGGGATTGTTGAAGGGCATCAAACCGGATGAGGACCCTGTGATGAGCATTTGGGTCAACAAGATCTACGAGATTAAGAAGACCTTGACCCCTTCAGGTCCGATTTGGTTTTGTGATGGCTACAGCTTCAAGATGGAGTGTGTGGGGACCGCCTCTGCCGCGGTACTGACTGATGGGAGCTCTTGGAGCAAGATCGTGCCCTTCCTGATGTCTAAGAAACCTTCTTGATGTCTTAGACAGTCTAAGCATCGCTGGGCTGATGCAGATGTTGGCCCTCGTTGGAGAAACCACATGGGTTAAGGATGAGGAGAATGATGTTTGGTTCGACTTTTTGTTTCCTAGGCACTAATGCAGGTGAGGAGTAGCTGGTTGTTTTTGTTTTTTTTGTGTTTCTCAGTGCTACAAGCCTCAAACCCAGAGATGTGCTCCAATGATCTCCAATGGATGTAGCCCAGGACCTTTGGGGAGCTGCATTTCGCTCCCATTTTTGGTCACAGCCGGCACCAGCGGCACATGGGTGACTGGTGAATCATTCGTCACATTTATACCCAAAGAGGAGGTCCTCTCTGTAGCCCGTCACCATGTTGCTGGCTAGTTTGGCTGCGAGACCCTACCCTTCCAGTTTCATACTCTAAGAAGTAGCCGGGTGGAGACTCAGGTGGCTTTCATGTAGAATCATGCAGCTGTAGGGAAACATCTGTAGAGAAAACATGAGAAAACTGACAGTGTAGGGCAGGATAATAGCGGACCAGCGGGCCTGTGTCCTTTATTCTATATTGAATGGGGAAGTTGTGGCCATTTGTTTTGTCCGGGACGCTTTTAGCCCAATCCGGGCATGGTTTCTCTTCCAGCCCTGTGCGTGCAAGGACAATGCGTGTCTAATTTGTTATTTTTTTTTCTTTCCTTTTTGCCGGGTGGCTGCACTTGGCGACCATGACACAGTGGATTCTGTCCTTTGAAGAGGTGAAATCATTTTGCCAGCACTGGTCATTCAGGAACCGCTCGGAGTAGCTTCGTTTGGCGCCCGCGGAGTCTGCACAGACTCTGCAGCGAGGTGTTTGACGCTGAAAGAACAGGAGGTATGGCTGAGCCGCTGCGATGACTTCAGTAGCCGGGACCGAAGGAGGAGTGGGGTGATTTGAGGAACAGGTGGGGACCATATCTACTTACCACTGCTTCAGTTGACTCATTTACTTCAACAGTATATATTTTGTTTATATATATATATATTTATTGCTTTACTATTTGGGATGGCATCTTAAGCGACTTTGCTTTGATGGTGCTTGAGTCTGACTTGCATGGACAGTGGATTCTTTTGTGAGCTTCACGAACGGGTCAAGGCTTTCGTCAACCACTGTCAGCCCTGCCATGGTCATTCGTGATTGGAGGTGATTTAGGAGTAGTATTAATTATATAACTTATATAATCCATTGCCGTTAGAAAGAAGTATTTTTCCATGGTAAGCAAGAATCAATGGGAAGACTTTATCACAAATTGCAGGGCACGAAGGCACCACGTGCAACTGAATGAAGAATGGACAGAGAGACGACCAATTTGCAAAATTGAAGGAAAAGGAATACAAGCCTGTCGGATGCACAGGCACCGGGTCACACAGGCCCCGGGTCAATTCTCGTCTCAAGTGGTGCAGGAGAACCGATCCAACTGAACTCGATTGGTCTCGTGGTTGTCACCACTTCGTCTCATGTCCGAGGCAATTATCGACAGCAACAGTTCTTGGTGCCTCAGGGTGGTCAAGAAGAGCTTTGCCGTGATAGCCAGGTATCCTGGGAACATCTAAGATCATCTAAGAGGACATCGCTCGACCAAGTCTCGATCGTCCACCTTTTTCATACGCTTTTCAGGTCACCCTTTTTGCACCTGAGAAAGAAACTACACCAAGAACGGCAGGTATTTGGCGTCTTCTTTATGAGTCTGTCTGTTTTTTGTCTCGGCTTTCCAGAGCTCGGGCCCGCTCGGGATCTCCACTTATCCTAAGGCCTGAAGATGGCAGACAGAGGTCCAGGTGGGGCGAGCTTCACCGAATGGGTGCAGGAGTGCAGGACCTGGACATGAGTGAATGTCTGGGTGTCGTGCACTGTTCGTCACCCTTGCAAGTTTCTGTAATAGTATTGGATCCGAATGGATCATCCGATTTTCTAGCAGATTTCCTCGACTGAAGGCTTCTCTACTGAGATGGCCCCCTTGAATGGTATCGGGGTATTGCTTCTGATCTGACTAGACTGGTGCCAGGCTCGCACTCGCATTTTGGTCATTTTGATGGCCATGCCAACTTATTTTTTGGGGGGGAAGGAAGCAACCGTTGACCTTTGATCCCAGCCATTTTTGTCAGGTGGCCCGCTGCTTGGACGTGCTGCTGGGCTAATGGTGGCGTGGCGGCAAGGGGGGGAGAGAGAGACTCAAAGACCCGACTCCAGTAGGGATCTCATGTATATAGGTCCTCAAAAAGAGCAGAGGGTAGAAGGCTATCTCTGCTTCCTTTGTTTTACATAGTCAGTCGAGGCAACCCTTCAGCTTTAGGGGCAATTTGAACCGCAGGTAACATTTTCCACTCACGATTTTGTTGATGGTCACAAACTTCCTTTCCACCAATACTTGGAAGCCCAAAAGCTGACGATGAGCAATCTGGACGGCTCAGTGTTCACCTCAGGTCCGTTGGTCATCTAACGCTGCGCCACATTTCACACATGGCTGATTATGGCCGTGAAGCCACAAAGGCAAATTTGGTGAACATCCCCTGGACTCGACTCGGTGTCTACATGGAAGGTTAAACCCACATTCAGGATCATCCATGAGTGCTCAGACGACTTTCCTTGCTTTCATTGGAGGGCTTTTCTGAAGGCCTTGACCCAAAACTTCAAGCAGCATACCAGGGCTGGGAGCCTCAAGTTGGGGGGAATGATGTCTCTCGGCCATTTGGGCGGGAAAAACATGGTGAGGTTTGGGGAATTGAAACTTGAAATAAACACTAAAGTCCTCCACCAGCGCTATGAGAGCTGGGAGTGAAGATTCACCCAGCTCTGTGAGGAGTGGAGGGACAGAGGTATTTAGTGGTTGCTGTGGTGCTCAAGGGGCGCTGAGTGAAACTCTCCGTTGTCGGAGCAATGCACGGCGAGTGTGCACAGCAGCCACCACAAGCGCCCGGACCATTTGGTTTGCTGCATGAAGAAGATACCGGTAGTATACATATACACACAGTATATACATATATATATATATAAGAAACAATAGAAGACAAGGTCACATGGCATTTGGAATCGGAGGACATTAGGACTGCAAACAATTTGACATCAATAGGAATCTATATTAGGTACCAGATCACCAGGGGATATCGTTTTATTTGGGATGCAGAATGAGACACGGTTTCTGTCACGTACTGGCATGCCTCATCAAGCTCACATCACTTGACCACATACATGTGAAAAGTGCACAACATCTACGCTGAATGCTTTGGGTTAGTCTACCCCTGGTTGAACAGGAAGCAGGGCCGAGTCATTTCTCAAAAAGCAGGCACAACCAGAGTTCTGCACTCGAGAGAGCATCAAGGTTACTGGAACCGGCACTTTTCTTTCGCTCCCAGATTCCTGGCTGTAGCGGCCTGCGCCTTTGCACAGCTGCTCGAGGCAAGCTGGCGACAGCTCATGGGCTAGCATGCGTTTTGAACCATTTCGACACTTCCTTTTCTTGAAGGAAGAACAAACATGTATTTATAGATATTTATAGCAGTTTTGAGATAAAACTCTTAGGGGAGTTAAGCCACTGCTTTTGGGGGGGTAGAAACCTTTGCCTCCCCAAACCTCTGGGTTTCTGTGCAGGCTGGCCTCTGTAGGCTTTCTGGGAGCCAACGGATCGATGGGGACCATGAGTTGACGACGTCCTGTTTTAATGACGTGGATTCGGATCAGATTTGTCGTTCTTTTCGGGTGACTCCTTCGATAGGCTTCGAGGGTGATGATCCTCTCTGGAGTGAGGCACTTCTGAGTGGTATTGCAGCACAGGCCGTAAGAATCTTTGACAGTTTCCACCCAGATCCAGAATGAAGTTACAGGCATTCCACCGTACTCACCGTATCAAACTGTGAGACTTGCAGAGACTTGCAGCATCCCTCCCCACCCACACACACATCAAAAGAGAGGGTGTGGCTTTGACCTGACTTGGTTTTGATTTGGACCATGGATTCATACGGATCCGCAACAAGACATGACAGAAACGCATCGAAGAACACGTGTTCGTCCCGATTGATTTGCCCTTGACGAGGTGAGTCATGTGATGTGGGCAGGCCTCCTTTTGGAGGTGGGCTCCAGCGGTTTCCCACCCGAATCCTCAGCTGGCAAGTTGGAATTGGATGAATTTGTTTTTTTTTCATCCACACCGGAGTTCTTTGATAAAGCAGCTAGAGTTCAAGAAAGGGAGCCTAGAAGTGATGATGACCTGTTTCTGGAGATGAACCGGCAGCGCCTATCGACCTATGTTTCAGCAAACGATCCAACTGACCAAGCCACCACACTGCCTGGTCCAGGGTCATGCTGGCCGCAGTGTCATGGAGGTGCTGGCTCTCTCGGAGTGGCCCTTGTGCGGGAGCCTGGATGTGTGTCCTCGCCGTCCTTGCAGTGGTGCTTTGGGCATCTTGCAGACTCTTGTATGAGGCGTGTGCAGGTACTATGGATTGTATAGGTCTGGGATATTGTACCGAATGATTAAATGTTATTTAGATTGTTGAAGAAACCTTTTAAGGCTAATTACTCGGTGTTTGTGTTTGGTATTTATCAGCATTTGGCAACCACATGGCAAAGGCACGTTGAACCACTAAACAAAATAATCGCGCTGCAAAGGAGATGCAAGGGGCAATGTTGACACGAAGTCAACCTGAGGTGGATGGTCCAAACTGCCAAACACACCCTGGATGAAGTCAGGAAGTGAACTTCTTTTGGTTTAGCTGGAATGGGTCATTTGTTGCAGCAGTTCCTTTGCACCTTTGCCATCCTTTGCTCCAAGATCGCCGAGGACCGAGCTACTTCTCCAAGCAGCAGCACCGCATGGAAAGCTCTCGGAGAGCTCTTCGGATTTCCAACGCTCGGTGCAGGAAGGTGCGGAGACCGCCGCTTCGGAGACCGGCTGAGACCGCCGCGTCGTCCAGCTGAGGGACGCACGAATGGTGACACGAGCTCGGTCTCGTGGGTACGACGGTGACACCCGTTCCATTCATCACCTGATTGGAACACCAATGAGGAAGAAAAAGGTCCCAAATGATCCTATATTTTGGGTCCGTCCTATTACCTGTAACAGTCAGTAAACAATTATCACTATTTTTCGAACAAGGCCTCTACTAACCATCATCCACTGTTACAGGTAATAGGATAGACCCAATCTATATGGTTTAAAGCTCCGAGTTTTTGCCCTTTTCTCGGTCCACGGCCCCACGAGCCCCATCGCAGCATCGCCTGAACGTGCCGTGGGCCAGGCATTGCCTTTGGCGCTTGCTCCTGCGATTTGAGCCTTTGGGCTCCAAGTGAGGCTGGATCACCTGGACGAAGCTGCAGGGGGGTGCTGCTTCTGGGCTGCACGAGTGTGGTGTGCAAGATGAAAGGGTGGATCAAAACTAATGATTGACTCAGCTTCCATGTTTGCGATTGAGTTGGCAAATCCCCATGTTGATGTCTTTCTGTTGCTTTGTTTGGAAAAATGGATGATGAGGTGAACGTACACCCCGTGATTGCCCAAACAAGGCGTACCTACTCTTTTTTGTGTTTTTGACCCGGAATGGTTATTTCCTGATGCAGTGTAGCTGACGTGACCTTTTTCCTTTGCGAGCAGAGCTCCTCCTACTCTGAATGTGACACCTCACCTCACGGATTCCTTCCCTGCTTGCCCCACAGGCCCGGGCAGTGGCCGCAGCACAGCTGGTTTTGGAGGACGACGGCCACCTGACCGACGTGCCTGCGTGTCTGGCGGAAATTCGGTGGTCTCCTCGCAACCTCCATACAGCTGTACTGACGTGGGTACCAGTTGACTACTAGGAGCAAGGACGCTACTAGGGTCTCCTGGCCTGCCTACTAGGAGCAAGGACGCTACTAGGGGCTCCTGGCCTTACTACTAGGAGCAAGGACGCTACTAGGATCTACTAGGGGCTCCTGTCATTACTATTAGTAGCATTCTTACTACTAGGAACAAGAAGCTGCAATAATTTCCAGAGATTGCCTTTAGTTTTCATGTTTCATGTTCATCCGGGAGGTTCTTTCAAGGGAAGCTGCAACATGTGAACAGGTGCTCGGCTGGTTTGTGGTTGCACCTCCTATTTTCCGTCAACAAGGAGATCAACACGGTGGTGACCCAGATCAGTGTGGATCTGGAGCAGATCTATGAGGTGCCACTCATCAACCTCTTTCTGGATCTTTCGAGTGTCCATAAATAAGATGACCAGGTCCATATATTTTTGTATATATTATAATATATGTGTATATATATATATATGAGTGCTCAAATCATTTTTTGTCCTTGAGCCTTTTGTAAGTGGGAAAGCATTTTGAAGGAAGTTGGTGGGCCCTTCATCCTGATTGTCCCTTCAAGAGACATGTGTTTTGTAGTCAACAGATACATCGCACTTGATCCCCGAAAAGGAAATGCAAATTCCTTACTTGCCCTGAAATTCAGAAAATGTTACATGAGTTGGTGAACGAGCCGTTCCTTATCTTTTCCCAAATGCAAAGCAACTAAACACGCGGGTTAGGAGAGCAACACAACCTGACTCAGGCCAGCAATCTAATGCAGCACACTTTTGATATTTCGCTTGCAGACAGTTCTAGCTACTGACGTCAACGTGTGGTGGAATTGATAGGCTCTCTACTTCACCATCCAAACTTCTTGGGAAGTTGGAGGGAACTGAGTTCAGCAAGCTCCACAGACGGGAGTGACACCATGCAGAGCAAAGACACTAGTTTCATCGGCACCATGAAGAGGTGTGAGGTCTGAAGTTCCACAATGTCTCTAAATATGTTTTGAAGATGGTGATCTGGAACCGAAGCAAGAGTATGATATTGCACCATGCAGACTTGCTGAGAAGAGCAGCATCGAAATCCAATTTCTCAACGACAACAGAACTCCAGACTGAACCCTGAAACTAATGAACAACCAGGAGTTTCGACACGGCTTGCTTTTGATCTTCCAACCTCCAGTGAGGCCCTTCGGTCTGTGAGAGCCCAACGAGCTTGTGACGGCTGGAACTGGGATGCAAGGCCGTTTCGCATGACAGGAAGACGCGAACCCAATAGCAGTGGTCTCCAACCTACTAGCGATGGCCTCCAACCTACTAGCGGTGGTCTCCAAACTACTAGCGATGGCCTCCAACCTACTAGCGATGGTCTCCAACCTACTAGCGATGGTCTCCAAACTAGTAGCGATGGCCTCCAACCTACTAGCGATGGTCTCCAACATACTAGCGATGGCCTCCAACCTACTAGCGATGGTCTCCAAACTACTAGCGATGGCCTCCAACCTACTAGCGATGGTCTCCGACCTACAAGCGATGGCCTCCAACCTACTAGCGATGGTCTCCAACCTACAAGCGATGGCCTCAAACCTAAACTAGCGATGGCTTCCAACCTACTAGCAATGGCCTCCAACCTACTAGCGATGGTCTCCAACCTACTAGCGATGGCCTCAAACCAACTAGCGATGGCCTCCAACCGAAGAAACATCGACCGGACTGTATGAGCTATGATTTGTTTCTTCATTTCCGGGTGCATGCGGTTTTGACATGTGTCCATAGTCACTCCTGCAGGCTCCTAACAGCCAGCAGTTTGCTCGAAGCCTTGGACTGGCAAGAGGCCAGGAACAGACATGCATTAATAATTAATAGCAATGGCCTCCAACCTACTAGCGATGATGGCCTCCAACCTAATAGCAATGGCCTCCAACCTAGAAGCGATGGCCTCCAAACTAAAAGCGATGGCCTCCGACCTAGATCATGTCAAAGCCAAAGCTACGAAGACGATCTGTGGACGAAATTCTGTGTGTCCTTTGGCCGATTTGTGCTGGCGTTGCCTGCGTTGCCTGCTTCAGCCTGGTGAGAGTTATCATCATAGTCTTAGTGTCTTGACCTTATTGGGTCGTTTGCTTGCCACTGGGCCTGGGCTGTGGACATTCGTGGATGAAATCCAAAAGTGGATGAAATCCAGAGACATCTTGGGGTGAACCAGCCGTTCGACCTACCTTGCCTTATCTTGCCTTTATCCATCGCATCCAGCCAGTTGGCCCAAAACCGATGAATGTTTGTTGGTTGAGCTGCTTGTGGACTTCAAAGCTTGTCAGATGATGAGGCACACTGAGGCGCCATGAAGGTCGCCCGATACGGAAATGAGGCCAAAGCAGTGGGGCCGTGCTAATCTGATCAATCGTGTTGACGCATGGAACCTCTTTTCATTGGGCGTCGAGCGGAAAGGATGAGAGAAGCTGAGACCTGCCGAGGCAGAAAGATCGAAAGGAAATGACTTGATCTCAGCGGGGCCGTGCTAATCTGATCTGCTAATCTGAAAGGCTTCACAGCTGCGAAAGCCTTGTTCTTTTTCTCCTTTGAAGCTTTGAAGGAGTCTCTGATAACAGTGGACAGGACAATTGGAGGGGCATTGGTGCCTTTAAGCGGTGCATGTTAACGTTGCTTTACTTTGTTGCTTTCAATGCGTGTTCCCTTTCCAGCTTTCGCTAATGCTGTGAGGGTCTGAAAGTCTGGGGATGTCACCTGTTGCCAACAAAAACTCCTGTGCCAAACTGGGTCGGAAGAGTTTGCTACGAACGGGGCGCTCCTGGCCTTCCTAGTAGGAGCAAGAAGCTACTTTGGGGTTCTTTCACCCGCAGGATTTGCTTCGTCTGGTCGATGCGGAGCTTTCGGCATGGGACCCGCAGATCTGCCTCCCCGGGGTGGGACGACTCAGTGGGAAGGCAGCTCGCTGGGAACTTCAGAAGGTGACCTGCACTTGTTAGTTGGGTGATGCGCGTGTCATAAACGGCAGTATCCTATTCGTACAACCGAGAAGGAAGGGTCCTCAACAGTCAGCAATGGACGCCCAGCCTTGAGCCTTGCTTTCGAACAAAACTCTACAGCAAGCAATATACTTAGTGAGCCCGCTTTAGGGCTAGGAAATGAGGGATTTGGGGGGGCAGTCCTTTAGCTTGACCTGTGTGACCGACTCTCGTGGATCGAGCATCAGTTGTCGCTGCAAGACCAATGAAAGTGGTGGAAGTTCACCTGGTGCTTTAAGGGACACACCAGAGCTACACGTGTCATGGAGGTGTCTTCTTGGAAGGGTCTGAGATGGTTTTTCTTTGAACAGTTTGGCCCATGGCTATTTTATGGCGGACTGATATCCCCTAAGCAGGCCAACCTCTCAAGCGAGTGGGGTGGTCGCACACGCGGCACGTCTGCTGCACGCCCCATTTTTTCACAACCAGTGCCATGGACTATGCGGCTCACGCCTTGCATGTTGCCCTACAAGAGCAGATGGCACAGGAGGGCGACGTGGGATGACATGGGATGAAGAAGTCATCGGGCCCCCCAATAGCGAGCTACGCAGGCGAGCTGTGCTTTTGATATCTTATTGATCACGGGTTTCTGTAAGAGACATGTTCTTTTTTTACTGTTCATCCTTTCAAACAGCAATGCTTAGAGTTTTCTTTCCTCCCAGATTTACTTAGGCGTACTGCCAGCCTGAATCTACAGTGACTACACCAGATCCATTGTTCATTGCAGATACTTCAATCAGACAGATCGGGGTTCAATTTTCATGTGCTGGGGCCACTCTTATGGCTGTGTCAGGAGATCAAAGCTCGCGAATATGAAGCTTTAATTCGCAGCACTGCTGAAGAGACTGGGCATGTGAAAACAGAGCTCTTCCCTCGAGCCCAGGGCTTTTGCTTGAGCCCAGGGCATGCTCCAATCGGGTGGACACTTGAGAGTGCCATCATCCAACCTAATTGCAACAAACCAATCTCATCCAATCTCCTCCTAGCAATAATATCCCCAAATTAGGTTTAAGTTAAGTGATTCTGAACCCACTGGACTGGGCACCTGACTTGACCTCAGGATCGCTTCTATGGGCCTCGAGAGTTTCGGCCCAAGCATTTTCCGCAGGAGTCGCCAGTCGAGAGCTGTTTGTTCGCATCTGGACGAAACAAGGTCACAACACCGTCATTCAAACTACCGATGAGGCCCATTGGTGACATCTCAAGGTTTAGGGATCCTCAGAACACCGCGAGGATTTCCCCTTCCGGAGCACCTTGCGGAGATCTTGGAGCTCGGGAAAGACCTTGCAAAGGCGGCGTGGCGGTGGCGGGCATTGGGCCTTAGCCGTCCACGATTTTTTATGAGTTGAAATAGTAAATCGTAGGCAATCACCAAACAAACTTACATATATTGCAGATAAACAGGAATCAGGAATCCCGCACCAAACCGCTTCCAGTATCTTCCAGTGATACTAGTGGGAGAACGCTTCTACTGTATGCTTCTGTGGATGTTTGAACTTCCCACAGCGTTGAGGGCATCACGGGCAGTGGATATTTGATCTTTCTTACAGAGAGACTTCGACCTCCACTTCGACCGCCGGTTTTCATGAGCAACTGGATCCTGGAGACTTGGACCTTGCAGGACACCTCTAAAGCAGTGGACATGGTGACATGGTGTGCTGGGATGCACTGGGTTTCCTCTCATGTTTGACTTCGGCCTGCAGGCCACGCAGTGCGCGCACCCAAGCGCCTCAGGACCATAGCAGTAGCGATGCTGAATGATGCCAATCTTGATGTGCAAGCATTTCGGCCTGGAGTTTGATGCTGAGAATCGGCAACATAGTGAGGTTTAACGATGAACCTCCTGACATCCACAATAGAGCAGCTAGAAATCTGCCTCTCAAACTCTTCCCCCATCCAAGAGAGCTAGATATGTGATGATGTGTGAAAGAAACACCTAGCTGCCTAGCTCGACCTCCTCTCCCACATGTCTGCAGGAGAATCGCTTCCCATGGCTCCAAGCAGAACGGCTCCGTGCGGCCCGGCGCGTGGCTCGCACGCGCTATCCACGAGGGGAGGAGACGGGGCTCGCACTGCGCGGGGCTCGCACTGCGGACAGGACTGTTTGACCAGTGGTGATGTATGGTTATGTGATGGTCAGATGGACTCCGCCCCTAAGGCACAGCAGAAAAGATGTGCCCCCCCCCTCAAGCTCCGACCCAAAGGTTCTTGTTTGAACTGCTCAGCACCGTTCCACTCAGGAAATAATGTGAAACAGCAGTTTGGATTCAACGATCCATTATCTGGAAGGACAAAGTGCCAGGAACCAAGAATTGCCGTCCGCGAGCTACCTGCTTCAAAACTACTAATACACCATGGGGCACCTGGCCATAGCTGGCTTAATCCTTCCACAGCCACTGTTTTCCACCTGAGTAATGAACCCGAACTGCAAAACCCAAGTCCCAAGATCTCTTCCTTCTCCAGGAGGGCCCAGTCAAAAGAAGAACAGCCAGCCCTTTGGGTGGCAAGTTGGGGTGTGAATGAGTGGTTGGAGTTGGCGGAAGGGCGGGGATAATGGTGATACAAGAGCTAGATACAAACTTGCCAAGTGCAATTGAGCATGTTGTCCATCCTGGTCCATCCTATCATTTTCAAGCATTCATGCGCATTCTCACGTAGCTGTGAGGTACGGATGCTGTGAGATGTCGAACAGGTTTAAGACTGCGCTGATGGTGAAATGTTATCTTGACACCAGGATCCTAGCAACTCGCACCAAGAACAATGCAATGGGGATCCGTTCGGTGATGACGGTGACGAAGATGTTTGCTGATCTCCCTGCTGCAGAAAAGCATCCCTTTTGCAGGGGTGGTCCTGTTGCGAGGCCTCACTCAATTTTGGGATATGTTGGGTAGCTACAACAGCTTGTAGCAGTTGCTGGATGTCCATCACAGTCGGGGATTTCATAGTCCAAACATGACCGGCTTTGAACAGGTTGAATCGCGGTCAAAACTGGTTTCACTGGTCTCGCTTGCCACCAAGGCCCCGCTCGCAAAGTCGAGAAGGTTGCAGGCTGCGGGCGTCTAGAGCAGTGGCGCTTCTTGCTGGAAAGGGTCTCACTTGTGACGCGGATTTCAGACTCGGATGTGACGCGGAGCTGTTGGCTCACTTGTGACGCGCCCGTGCTCACCTTTGGATCTGGTGCCTGCGCCCCCCCCAAACCCCCCCCCCGCGCCACGAAATCTGCACTTCATCTCCGACACCCGCGCCTGCCACGAAATCAATATTTTAAGGTGTGCCCGTGTGCCTGTGAGTAGTTGTAGTTGTAGTAGTAGTAGTAGTAGTAGTTGTTGTTGTGGTGGTGGTGTCGCAAATGAGTCCACTTTGGTGTCGCAAGTGAGTCTGTCCTGGGTAGGTTTTGTTGTCGCAAGTGAGTCAGTTCTTCGCAGCCCGCAGGGGTGGTAGCTTTGCTTGTTGGCTTTCTTCATACAACCTTACAGGATTCTTTCTCCTACTGACAGGCTCTCATGGCATATTCATATTCAAGAAACATATACATATACTTATGAAGTATATATTCCAATTAGAAAGTGCAACGTCGTAGCAGAACTGTAATTGATCTTGTAGATTCCAAGACATCATTGTTGAAATAGTTTACATTACGTATCCACAACTTCTTTACAACTTTTGTTCGAATCCACAATCCAGATTCAGTTGCCTTACTTCCCCCGCTTGCGCTTCTCGCGGGGCTGGTGAGGCCGAGCAGCTCCTTCTTCTCTCCGCTGTCGCCTGCTGGGCCACACGGAGCTGGCCGCCGTGTCAGTGCCAGGATGGCAGGTGGATCCGTCCGATTGGATGTGGATGCACTTGGGGAGAAATGGTCGTCAAACGCAACAATGCTTTATATATAATACACATCATCTACAGATCTACAGAACAGCTCCTGTTTCCATGGTGCTTTCTGGTCACTTTGTCGAATCTTTGGTGCCCAGTTTACCAATTGGCGGTTCTCTGGGAAGATTTGGAAGATCTGAAGCTTGTGGAGGAATCCTTTTACAATATCTATAAATCATACAACACGGGTACGGGCACATCATGACCGTAAATGCTGTTGAAATCGCTCACCGTCACCTCACGAGACTGGGCACTTTGGACGGTAGGACAGTGGATCCAAATGCGGCCCCCACTCGACTCCGTGCCTTCCACAACGCAACTCTTATGATGGGACAGATGGTTAAACATGGAGCTGTATGAACCAAAGGGGTTCGTCAATATGGTGCTTTGTCGTTTGAAGCAGCACCGAGGTAAGCCACTAGCGACATCGGCACAGAATTTTTTTTTCATCATTGCATTCGCCCGTAAAAAAACACAAACCAGACCTGAATTCTGCAGTCTGAGACAAAGAGGCACGGACAGCAAAACATATTTACGTGGGCAGTGCCAAATACCACACCGCGCCATCCATATCTGTGGTTTGCAATGGTTTGCAGAGGACTGCTAGTACTGCTAGGGTTGTGTAGATGACACATTATATGGATATAATATCCATGTAATATAGATATGCAGTTGCCTTCTATTATAGGGATCTTTGGCGTAATCTGTCCTGGCCAGATCCCACACTGCACACAGGCAGCCTTTGAATTCGAGCTCCGGATGTACCTGGCACAGCTTTTGGGGCGCTCTCCGGACGAGCTCCGAGTGCGCGCGCGCAACCGCAAGCAGCGGGTGGGTGCCTCAGATTTTAAGGGGAAGGGGCCTCTCTCAGAGGATCCATGTTATTGATGGGTTGTAGAGGGTTTGCTAGTAGTAACAAGTGCATCGCTACTAGTAGCAAAGGGCATCGAATGTATCAGAGTCTTTGGAGAACTTTGGGCGATGGACCCGAAGAAAGATCGCACCTGTTTTTTGTCCCGAAGATCGCA